GAACTTAAACTGACCATAGTAAAACCATCGGCCGCAGTTAACTGTTTTGATCTGGCCGGTTCGTACCGTGGCCACATCTATATGAGTTAGTCTTTATTGAGAAATCATATTAATTATCATAGATCTGAGCAAAGAAATTCAAGAACAAAAGTTTCAGCAGCCGCTATTCAATTCACGTACACTTCACAATAGGTTTTCATGAGCTTACAGTAACATATATATACACATATCAAGGGAGGATCATGTGGACAAGTGTCCCTAATTTGAAAATGATCCTACGGTTCTAATAGCTCTAAACAAGGAGTTGAACCAGCTTTTGCAGCTTTACAGGAAATAGATTTGTCCTTATTGCATGTCCATGCTGGCTCGTCATCTTGCGTGACTTGGATATTGCTTTTCCTTGACCAAGTTCTGTTTTGCATTTTCTCAATATTGCTAACACTACCCCTCAATCCGATCGAGTTCTTGCTTGTGATTCCCAATTTATATTTAAGACGAGAGAAGGATTGCAATGAAAGTGGCTTGGTGAAAATGTCACTCACTTGTTCTGCTGATGGAATGTGGCAGACTGAGAGCCTTCCTCTTTCCACTTTTTCTCTAACAAAGTGATAGTCAAGTTCCACATGTTTGGTCCTTCCATGCATAATCGCATTAGATGCTAGGAACACTGCACTTTGGTTGTCTACCCAAATTACTGGGGTTTTCAGTATTTCAACTCCAACTTCTGTTAACAATGAGTGGATCCAGGTTAATTCTGAGGCTGCATGAGATAAGCTTCTATACTTGGCCTCTGTACTTGATCTAGAAACTGAAGTTTGCTTTTTAGAACACCAAGATACTAAACAACTGCCAAGAAACACACAATACCTGGTTGTTGATCTTCTATCATCTAAATCTGCCCCCCAATCAAAATCTGAGAAGGCCTTTAAATCAAGGTGAGCTGATGGTCTACAGTCCCTGCTAGGTACCTTAGAATCCTCTTGGCAGCTTTCCAATGAGTGTCCAAAGGATTGGACATATATTGACTCACCTTATTTACAGCAAAACTCACTTTAGGTTTAGTTAAGGTGATATATTGCAAAGCCCCTACCACACTTCTATACAATGTGTGGTCTATTGTTGGATTACCATCTTCTTTTGATAACTGCAATGAGGACACCATAGGTGTAGGGACTCTTTTAGCTTCTTCCATATCTACTTTTTTGAGCAGATCAAGAACATATTTACCTTGATTAAGGTGAAGTCTATATGTGCTTTTGCTTATCTGAATACCAAGAAAATGCTTATCTGAACATATTTAGCCTTTTTCGAAGTTTTCTCATTTCTTCTTCTTCAACTTCGCTCACCCGCCGTTTGAGGACCGTACGCCTGAGGTCGTCTTCGGCTGTGTTTCTTCCTAGCCGGTTGAAAACCGACCGGTTAGTCCGATGTGGGTGGGAGTTGGTGACCGAACAACTCTCGTCCGTCTTTTCTCGCTCGGACCGAGTGGTGGTCTTTGTGTTTTCCCTCAGGCTTCTGGTGGTATCCTCGCGGGATTGCGAGGTGTCTAACTGAACGACCGGAACTTTGTGGCTAGGTCCGGCGGCCAGATCCTTCTTCACCGGCGTCTTTGGTGCTTGGGATGTCGGTGGCCGGATCTGCGTCATGAGGTTCGATATTCCTTTGACGAAGTTGGGATCTGCGAAAAGTGCCGTGTAGTCCCTTGCGGCTGGTTGACGGCTACGTTGGTTTTCCCCTTCCTCCGACTCTTCTCAGCAGAACCTTTGGCTGGACGACGATGATGCTCGCGACATGTTGGGATTCATGCCTCTTTCTAGCGCCAATTGTTGATGTCTACTATTGACCAACAATGTATTCGAACTGTATACTAGAAGGTATACTCTGTTCGGTCTGCACGAATAGGGATTTTGTATAGTATTTGGTATAAAAGACAGTACGAATGTAAGCTCTATCCGTGACTTATTTGGTATTTAATGAGAGCATTTTACTCATTGCATTTAATGTTGACTCTTGGTCCTTATATAGGAAGTGTGAGGACTTGTTAAATGCAAATTTCAGGCTTTCTTTTCCCTTTTTACTTTACAATATATCAACTAGATATTTAGTCACACCACATTTAATGCTAATGTATTATGAAACACCATCTCCATAAAGCAAACTCGTTCGGGTTGCGACACGTGCTCCAGAGACTAAGCGCCCTTAGATTAAGGGTTGCCGAATCCATGCTCATTAAATGCACATCGTACGGATGATATCTTAGTAATGGTGGGCGCCATTCGAACACGCCTCCTGCACGTCGCTTGGTTCCTACGTCTGTTCGGTCCTCTAGCGGTTTCCCCGGTTACGAACCCGAATAGAATTTACCTAATTTAATTTTCATCCGTTCGGTCTTTACCATGTACACCTCTCATGTGAGGTCTCTCATTTCCGTACAGTTTATGTTTGCTATATGTACTTGAACTTTGTATCTAGGTTTATTTATATATCGCTTCGAAAACTAAAATAAAAATCGGATGATACAAATTCTCTATTAAGCAAGTATATATACACAAAATTAGGGCTACATATACTGAAAGATAATATAAGGCTAATACAGTAAATATACAGTAACACGCTCATTCTCAAATTGTTTGATAAACAAGTCGATTACTTATTTAAATTTAGCTTATTTATATATACTAGTGAATCAGGCTCGGACTTTCACAAAGTCGAACCAAATTATATTAGTAAATAATTTAGTTCGAGAACATAACTTTATGCATACCCACCCCTATAAGTAAATTTTCTAGCTACACCCTTAACATACATTAGTTATTGTGCTTTTCTAGTGAAAACTACTCACATCACAAATAGAAAAGTTTGCATTCATTAATATATTTGGGATGCTATTCATTTTTCAAATTTTGAATAGATTAAATAGATCCGTACATATGAGTAATCATAGTTTCAAAATGAATAACGTGTAACTTCTACAAGTACCAATTGAATTCAATAAACCATTACTACACATATGTGCGAATGAATATCGAATTAATGCATTAATATACCTGTTATACTATAAAGATTTATTTGATAATCATACCCGCTTCACATAGAGCACATAGCTTTGCTTCTTTGATCCCAACAAAATAAAAATAGGCAGATCACTTGTAGGACAATTATGACGCGTTAAACGTGAAAAGTCTAAATAT